CGTGCGTTTGGATAGCAACAGAAAAATAATAAACAATAACACTACATAGTAAAATAACTTTTTCAAAGGAAGAAGCCACTGTCCAGCACATATCGAGTCATGTATGTGCATTGACTGCTTTTTTAAAAAGCATACATGATCACTGTCAGATGTATCTACAGTTTAGTGTATTAGATTTTTTTTTCTTTACAGGAATGTATTTTGGGTGCAATTATACTTCAACCATTCTTCTCAATCATTAGCGGTCCTGATGATATCTTCTGTTTATAAACTTCCAGGGTTTTTCAATGTTTCTTCCTTCTTTACTTCTTACCACAGAAATTCTATTTAGGAAGGAAAGTTAGATCTCATTACAAATAGCAGATGCCAGATTGTAGATTTTAGTTTGGGAAATGTGTCTGTTTTGAATTCTCAGGATTGATCAGATGTAGTCATGGCACACAGTACCTTTATGTAAATCAGGTCAATTTCTTTTTCATAGAGTATCAAGGATATAAAGACATTAGTTTAGTTTTTTTTTTTTTTTTAACGAAACTGACTTATTTAGCAAGTTCATTATGCAAGTGGCATTCAGTTATTGCATACAAACAAAGTTTCAGCTCCCCCTCCCCCTTCTGGCATCTGCCTTCAAAACAGAATGGGATGCGGCAAATTGTTTTGTAGCCTAATTGTTCTCCCATTCTAAGATTAACTTACCTCCTTGCCTACAACAGCATTGCTTCTCCTAATATAACAGTATGTGTATCCTAAGGTGTAGCTGTTATTAAATTCCTCAAAGAGTTAATCAAGGATTTCAGTTAAAACTTAGCTGTCAACCTTTCACAGCTTGATCTTCTGTTTAGTGCCTTTGAATCCTCTTCTCCCCATAGACATCTGTGCCAGATAGTTTCCACACTGCATAGTTCTCTTCCTTGCCAATAGAAGCAAATATGTGTAGCTCAGGGTCGAACTGTGGAGTCCTTGGCTCAGAGAACCCCAAGGACTCTCTTCCTTGCATACTGATTTCGATGCCAACTCCTCTTTGGTGATTGTGAATCAACCGTGGAGCCTACATAACCAGCAGCCTGAGACTGCTTAGTTATATTTTTGCTAGCTAGCCATTTTCTTCTTCTCCTGCTCTGAGCACAACTCCCATACTACTAATTTCCTGCCAGCATCTTACCCCATTTCAATTTCTTCACTCTGTATGAGATACTGTCTATGTGTGAAACGCTCTTATTTGGTTATCTTTCAGCTATTTCCCAGGCTGAGATTATCAGCCACATATTAAAATATCTGGGCAGTCATGTGACAGGACAGCGTATAGTTTTATTTCTATAAGCTATAGAAAGTTGAAGTTTATCACAGTGGAACTTAGTTTTGATAATTTAACTAATTGTGCTTATTTCATTTCAGGGTGTTTTTTTATTAATGACTGCTGATTTTATTAAATGCAGGTGATGTTATTGCTTACTTTTAATAGGCTGTGATGTAATTTTAATTGGGTAGTGGGTTTGTGTTTAATGATAATGATAGCTATGAAATCTTGTAACCCATCTTTAAAAGAAGGAATTTTACTTCTCCCATTTTTAAAATCCCATTCAACAGTCAGCAGACTATCCCCTTCTACATACATTGTTTTATTTCATTTTATAGTACACAGATACATCAATATACATACCAATTAGGGTATTGTTGCTGTATGTTTTCAAATTCAGAATTCCCTTCAAGCTAACTGATACTTTACTATGTCTGATTGGTGCCATTTTGGCTACATAGGAATGATACTAGGAGAATGAATTTGCTATTTGTATTTAGCATATCTGTTTACTTCCATTTTTGTGAATTGCAAGGTACTGTATGTTTGGGAAGATGGCTTCTATTTAAGAAATAAGTGAATATTGTCTGATAGAGAGTTGGGCAAGCTAGTAGGTTAATAACATATCTCATCTGTATAATACAGAATCATATTTCCCAGTTTAGTTTCATTTGCTCACCCTTCTTTCTGTTTTGCATACTGCAAGCTTCAGGTGTAAGACATTACATACCCAAGTGCATTCAGATTGAATTGCCAGGTTACAGTGCTCATACCTGGATCTCCTCGCAGTTTGCAGTTGTTTAATTTCAGTCAGAAGCAGCTCCCTCTGTTTCTCCCTCCACATGGGTAATCATCAGTCCGTTCCTGCTCTTTGATGAATACCTCCCAGCATGTGACACCTTCCACTAAAAAGAAAAGTCTCCAGAGCTTTCACTGCTCCATCATTAATGAACATTCTTTTGATAACCTTCATTATAAGGCATAATGAAATCTCTCTCTCTTTTCTTATAGAAGGTAGACCTCATGTGCTTCAAATTGAAAGAGCAGAAAGATGGAATCACTGCTGGTTTCCATCAGTGGACAACTTTTTATGGGGGGCATTCTGTCTTTCTGCCCTGCTTAAGGACCATTTCAAAGACTCCCTAACTCTGTGGGTGGCTTTGGGCCTGCCATTCTCAGTCTAATCTAACTCAAAGGTTTGTGGTGAGGAAATAATATGATATGGAGAATTATGTACGTTCCTTGAACTCTCACTGAAAAGCAACATTCAGTAGCAATAGAATCTGAGATTATTATACCATGATACTACTTGTATGTATCGAATATGTTTGGTGTGTTGTGTATGTGTGTATATGTGTACACATGTGCATGTATGTGTATATGCCTATCCTTATGTGTCTATATATGTGCATGTATATGTGTGCATCTCCTTCATTTTCCCTAGATTCCTGTCACAGGAAATGTGATCTCTGCTGTTGTACCCAGACAATCTGAGTAACTCTGGCATTCAGTTCAACTCATCTTTCACTTCTTTGCTGGGCTCAGTAACTAACACAAGCGTTTGTAAGTTCTCATATACATGATACATATCACATTCTTTATAGCACTTTACATGCAGGGCTGATTTCTATTGTATATACTTCCCCCATATATTTGTCTGTCTCTGAAAGTTTATAACTTATTTGCTATCATGCTCAAACTTACTGTATAGACCACCTATTTTTACTTGTTAAATATCGGGATGTGACCTTTCTGCTAATGATGCTAGTGATAATGGAATTTCTATTCTAAAATATAGAATTACTGCCTTAATATACATAAATTGTAAACCTCCCTAGAGAGTAACTTATAACAGTGAGAGGGCTGATATTAATCCATCTTTTACAGCATGTTTTTCATGTATAGTTACTTCAGTTTCCTTGAACCTATAAGTGTTGGGTCTCTAGCAGGATGGATTCTGCTCCATGTGGAGCTGCAGCAGATTGTTAAACATATGCAATAAATAAATTACAAGTCTACTTTTTCAGGAAATAATGTTTTCCTACACACAAAACTATTGGCATATTTCTGGTTTGCTTCACTCTCAACTTGAGGGTTAGAAAGAGTTCACTAGATTTCATCTTCACTCTTAACCTTTTTACAATTTAGAATTCCAGAAAACTGCAGGAATGAAATATATATTTACTGGAAGTTCTTGCAATTTAAATTTAAGCGCTGGTGAGCTACATCTTTTCAAAAGCATCTAAGACCCATTTTCATTGGTAATGAAAATTTAATTGCTGCAATTTTCAGATTTGGCAACTTCTCTAGTAAATGTTTAGATATAGAAAAAGCAAATAACATGTCAAGCCTAGAAGAAAATAATATTTGTTTTAATGTAATTAAACTGTAAAACAACTATAGTTGGAATGTTGAAATCATTAATCCTATCATGATCATTATCACTGTTCACTACTGTAACTTTTAGTAGGTTTTAATGTTGCTATTATTTGTACATTGCTTATTAATTTATTGATTTAATGGACTGTATTATTTTTCTTTTCATTTTGGATTTTTGCCATGGTCATTTAATTTATATTGCATATTTCTAATAAAGCTGCTGGGAATCAGAAAAAATTCAGCGACATATAAAGCTAATACATAAATAAACCATTTAAAGCTATGTTGATCCTTCTAAATGTCTGAATCCTTGGCCTATACCTCCTTAGATCGTAAACTGCCTGTTCAATCTTAGGTTATTTTTTAAAAGTTGCTTGAGTATCCCTATAGCAGAAGGCTTTTAATATCTGACTGATCATGCCTTAAATAGTAACACAAATAATAACAACTGTATTATTATAACCCCTCAACAACTAAGAAAGTTAGTATCAAAAAAATTGGGCACTTTAAAAACAGTGCCCAATTAAAACAACAGAGACAAATAGGCAGGCATAATAAACTAAAAAGGAAATCAATTAACTAATTTCTATAATAACTCTCTCCAGGTCAAGGCAATGAAACAAACAGCTGGCCTAACAGCTAGAGGACCTGTGGAAGGTGACTCAAGATGAATCCATTCAAGCATGGCCTAGAATCCTTATTAAGGCCTATGGCTCTGAAAGTGGCTTGTCCATTCCTGATGAGGTCAGATTGAACTAAGGGACACGTGTTCTTGCTATTTCTTAGATGGGATTTTTACAATGCACTGTAGATGCAAATGTCTTCATAGGTGTCTGGTATAAATTGTGATGACAAAAGAAATGATGTATGTTTTCGTACAGTGCAACATCATGATGTACCCCTGGCCTTTCATATCCCATTGGACATGAGTATAAAAGTCACATGGTTTGCCTCATGACATCACAGTACAGGTTTTGTCATTTGTTCATCTTGCGCCCCCCCCCCCCCCGCAGAAAAAAACGCGAGAGGGGGGGGTGGGGGGGGGGGGTGGGGGGGGGGGGTGGGGG